CCGGCCAGAAAAAAAATAAAAAATAAAAAAATAAAATAAAAAGTATGAATGCCGCAGACATCACCACGCAACATGACAATTTGTTCAAGGTTTGGTTTTGTGTGTTTCCAAAATCGATTTTCACGCTCCGATCATCAGTGGAAATACGGAACTAAGGAGATCAAGGGAAAAACAAAGGTTAAAAATCTAAAGACGTGTGACACATGACGGGTAAATGACGGCGAGGATACAGATGACGACGAGGCGGGTGATGACGAGGCAGCGGATGACGACGAGGCGGATGACGATGAGACGCCTGGTGGTGATGGTGAAAAAACGGCCGAGGAGGAGTCAGGTGGCAGGGAAGGTGATGGAGCTGATGAGGGTGAAATTCGTAAGAAGTCAGCTGTGTACTTGCATTTGTTATCTCGTCCCGATTGTTTGAGTGTGTATGATGATTCCCACTTCTCTGTACTGTGTCGTGCCCGTTATGTTCAGCAGTTGAAGGTCCTTGAAGCTGTTTGTATTCGTACGCATAAGCCCGAATTGTGTAAGCAAAAAGAACATGTTTTAGCATTTAGGTTATTTTCGTGAGTTTGCACCCCGTGCTCATGAGTTGTTTCTGCACTGTTCATGCCCGTTTGTCACACTTACGCTTTATTTTTAGTTCTCACTTTTTGTAATACTTACCACAAGTTACCCGTCATGTGTCACACGTCTTTGGATTTTTAACCTTTGTTTTTCCCTTGATCTCCTTAGTTCCGTATTTCCACTGATGATCGGAGCGTGAAAATCGATCGATTTTGGAAACACACAAAACCAAACCTTGACCAAATTGTCATATTGCGTGGTGATGTCTGCGGCATTCATACTTTTCATAGCTATTATTAAACTTTTATCTCCACGTAGATTATTTAAATAAAATAAAATAAATAAAAAATAGGGTTGACCTACCCAATTCTTGAAAGACGGGAATTTTCGTCAATAATGTCCCCTTCTGGTGAAGTAATCAGTCTGCACAGGCTTGCTTTGCAGCCCCTACTCTCCCTGCTGTTTTGTCATTGTATACTCTGTTGTCTTCTCCCCTTCTGACGAGTAGGTTGTGTACTTAGTAAAAAAAAAAAAAAAAAAAGTCTATGATGTCTCCGTCACTCATACTTTATTTATAGCACTCCTGGTCCAGTACCCCATTATTTGCTCACCTACTGAAATCCTAGTGCTACAGCCCTGTTCCAACAGCCTAAGAAACCCTCACTCCAATGAATGCACGAACATGCACAGCTTTACTCCGCAGCCGTGGTCCTGAGCATGCCCTGAGCAACCCAACACAGACATAGCCTCTGGCTGAAGGACAGGAACAGTCCTATAATATCCAGTGATTTCATCAATTCCACTGATCCAGTCCACGGATCAAATTCCACTGGCGTTCAACAGATGAAAGTCACGAGAAAACGTTATGGAACTTGACTCTTTATTTTATTTTTAAATGCTGTAGTTATGAGTGCACAATTGAGCTTATCCATTGCCATTTTACGACTATTATCTTCTCTTAGATGATTTCATCAATATGCACAGACTCAGCAAGGTGTCATACAGTAAAACCTGGTTTAAGCGACCACCCCATGGCCACGGTGCAAGCAAAAGCGGTCATTAAAGCGAGGTGGTCTTTAGAACCAGGTCCCACAGAGTCTGGGTAAAACTGTCCGTGCAAGAGAAAACGGTTGTTAAGAGCATGCAGGTGGTCGCTAAACACAGAGGTCGCTTACACCAGGTTTTACTGTATGTACCAGTACGTGTATACCATGGTTATACACACCTGCTACCCTCCCCGATATGGCCGCAACCGTCCCGGTATCCAGGGTGGTACTAGGCACCTAAACGTGCATGTGTCACACGCTTCACAGCTACATGTACATGTACATTGGTATATATGTTCATGCCATACCTAGGTATGCCATATCTCCATACCTAGGCATACCATACCTAGGCATGCCATACTTAGGTATGGTATGCCTAGGTATGGTATGCCTAGGTATGGTATGCCTAGGTATGGAGGTATGGCATGCCTAGGTATGGCATGCCTAGGTATGGCATGCCTAGGTATAGAATGCCTAGGTATAGCATTCCTAACTATGGCATGCCTAGGTATGGAGATATGGCATGCCTAGGTATGGCATGCCTAGGTATGGCAATGTCCCGATCTCGGGTTTGCAACGGTTGGCAGATACGGTGTGTCCATGTGTGTCATGATAATGTCCAGTGATGTCATGGTACCCAGACAAAGATACCCAACGTATGATAATATACTATTCCTGTTTGTATTCACGCCGGGAAGATCACCTGTTCCCTTCGCATCACGTCAACAGGTCGCCACGCTGTTGCCAGAACTGCTCTCGGCTTCAGCGGCCGTGCCGGTTTCCTGCAAGTCATCATTATCTCCGCTGAAGCCGCTAGTGCGGTCACTGGGGGTCATGCACTCGAGCTCCAGGGCGCCGCCAAACACAGTCAGGTTCTCCTCTTCCTCGCCGGTGACGTCCTGGTAATCGGTGTAATGCTGCTGTCCCGCAGGCGTTGTGACAATAATTGCAATATGGAGACGAGCAGTGAAGCAGAGGCAGGAAGAAGCCTGCTCAAGATAGCATAGGGACACCATAATCGCATATACCCGTATTTTTCGGAGTATAAGCCGCAACCCCCCCCCCCCCTCTTTTGCCACGAAATACAGGCATCTATTCGGTCACTGTCGTGCAATGTTATCGCATGAGCTGATTGTTTAGTAACTGGTGGTGTTAGTGGATATTATAGTGCAACTTGTAGTTTCTCGGTTCTTTTTTCTTTACTAGACATTTATTCTATTTATCACCGTTAATTTGATCGTACGAGTATAAGCCGCACCCTCTCCTTCTTTGGGGGTGAATTTTGACTGTTCAAAGTACGGCTTATACTCCTGAAAATGCGGTACGAGTAGGAACAAGGCTTTAATAAAACAAATTCCTGAACTTGTCCTACCACAATACTGCCAAGTGTTGGAGTGACTGCACCGACATACCTGAACGTGTGTACACACAGGGGTACATGCATGTGCATACACACACACAAACTCACTCACTCACACACACACACACACACACACACACACACACACACACACACACACCTTGAAACCTTGAAACTGCCACCTAAAGGTGATGCAGTGCCTCAAAGAGGCAAGGAGGGCAGAGTTACTTCTTGCATTTGTGTTGAGCCAGGTACTGGAGACGTGTGAACTTCCGAGAGCAGGTCGGGCATGGGATGGTGCGGCGCTCGGAGCCAGAGCTGCATGTTCTGCGGTTGGAGTTGCAGTTGTGCCAGCGGTGCCCAGCTTTGCTCCGGAAACAGCGGTCACAGGTGTGGCAGTGGTAATGACATTGGCTGCAATCAGGTGGGCGAGGTGCAACAATCTCTGGAACTGGAGCGTCACCAAGACTGGGAGAGCAGCTGTGCACAGCAAATCCACCTCGGCTAGCAAACCAACGATGGCACGTTTCGCACAACACAGCACCGGCCTGTTCATGGATCGGCTTCAGTCGCTCTTCCCTGCATTTGTGCCGCCGAAGTCCGCTTTCACTGGCGAAGAGTCGCTCACAGATCGCACAACACACTGACTTGGCTGTCGTTTCAAGGCGTAAGCGCCGTGCAACAATAGCATCCGAGATGGACTGGATCCACTCGCCACGTTCAGCTGCGAGGTCGTACCAACCGGTGTATAGACCGAACGCCTTGAGGTCATCGCGTACCACATCACGTCATCGACGCCTGGGGCCATAAGCAGGGCGTGGAGTATGGAGCCACGAGAACAACACTGCCTTTGGAAGCCGGTGGTCGTCCATCCTGGCAATGTGGCCAAGCCACTGCAACTGTCGACGGGCAACCATGTCAGCAACTGGCTCTGTAGCGCACACTCTATGCAGCGAGGCAGATGACAGGTGGTCCTCCCACTGTTTGGAACGCGAGATGCCGAGAATGACACGAACGCAGCGGTTGTGGAATTGTTCAAGGCGACGTATGTCGGCACGCAACAGTGTCCAGTTCTCAGCCCCGTACAACAGCACCGACAACACACAGCATGTGTACGTGTGTTGTTTCGTCTTGGATGTTAGTGAAGTGTTCCGAAAAACTGACGAGTAGAGGCTGCCTAAGGCCTTAGATGCAGCAGCTATGCGGTTGGACACATCGGTGTGGCATCGTCCGTCTGGTGTTACCACTGAGCCGAGATATGTGAACTGGCTGACATGCTGGATGGCGTTGCCTTGTACGCTTAGCGGGGTACGGTCACTGTCGTTGATCTGATGCCCAACAGCCATGAACACTGTCTTTGCCATGTTGAGAGACAGCCCGAATGCTCCACTGACCTCCGCAAATATCTCAAGCATACGCTGAGCATCCGAGTGGCTGGGTGCAAACAAGGCTGCATCATCAGCAAACTCACCATCTGTGATGACCATATCATTACCACGCTTAGATCTCTTGAAAAGCTGACCATCGGCACAGGTACGGAGTGGAAAACCAGACACTCCACGCTCTTGGACGCGTGCGCACCAACGTTCCATCACTGCACCAGCAAACAAGTTGAAAAGGACTGGTGCCATTGTACACCCTTGGCGCAATCCGTTGCACACTGGGAAGCCTTCAGTGGGGGAACCATTAACGATGATCGTGGCTGTCATGTTGTCGTGAAAAGACTTCAGAAGGCTGACCAGTTGCTCCGGGACTCCCAGCTTCAGCAGGACAATCCACAGTGCAGCACGCGGAACAGAATCGCATGCCTTCCTCAAATCGACAAACACCAGGAATCCCTTGGATTGGTGCTCGTGACACTTCTCCACAACCTGGCGAACAACAAACGTCATGTCCGTGCAGGAGCGACCTTTCCGGAAACCACACTGTGAGTCAGGCAGCACACTTTCGGCGACTTTCTGCAATCGGTTTTGCAGCAGGCGTCCGAACAGCTTGCCAATGACGTCGAGGAGTGCGATGCCACGTCAGTTGTCGCAGCTAGTGAGGTCACCCTTCTTGGGTATCGGTATTATCTCAGCATTCACCCAATCTTGCGGTACTACGCCCTCCTCCCAAACCGCGGTAATGAGCTTAAACAGATTGGCATAGAATAGGTCGCAGTTGTATTTGACCATTTCCGGTAGAATGCCGGAGCTTCCAGCAGCTTTCCCGTTCGTAAGATAGCGAAGGCAGCGCTGGGCCTCTTCAGCAGTGGGTGGGGTGGCCAGGTGTTCCATGATGTTGCGCTGCTGGACCATGTCAATTTCAGATCGGACAAAGCCGCTTGGAAGGTTCAGCAGCTTTTCGAAATGTTCAGACCAGCGGTTCTGCTGTGCCTCAACGGACGAGCATGGTGAGCCATCAGTCTGTTTGATCAGGCACGACTTAGTGGGAATCAATCCGCGCCGGGCAGTCTGTAGATCCCGGATGCTGTTCCACACAGCCTTACACCCAAACTTCCTAGATTCGGCATCAGACGCAGTCTTACGGAACCAGTCCTCCTTAGCACTGCGTACAGCATCCCTTGCAGCTGAGCGCGCGCGGACAAACTCTTGCCGGACCAGAGGTGATGGATCTGCTAAAGATTTCTGGAATAGAGTGTTACGATGTGCAAGGAGAGGCTCGAGAGTGGCGGAACTGGCTGAGAACCAATCTGGCTGACGACGGCGACTCTTGCCTAGGACAGAGGTAGCTGCTTTAACTGTGGCGTCCCGTAGTGAACTCCATTGATCCTGAACTGAGGTCCCTGGTGCAGCGTCTTGCAGACAGTCGGATGAGGTATGGTACCACTCCGCCACAGTTGCTTGCCTTACTAAATCATCATCCTCTGATGCAGTTGGGTCAGCAGGTCCGAGTTGGGATACATCAAAGCGACGGCGATCAGGGGCCTTGCTCTTTGGCGGGTAGAAACGCCGGCGGCAAACAAGTGACAGCGTTAGCCCAACAAGTTTGTGATCGGTCCCACACTCAGCAGACCGGTACACACGGCAATCTGTACAGCGCTGAAAATCCCGCTGCCGGGTGATCACATAATCAATACAGTGCCAGTGCTGTGAACGTGGGTGCTGGCACGTAACTTTATGAATGTCCTTTTTCTTGAAGTACGTATTACAGAGTCGAGAGTTGAACATGGATAGAAAGCTCAACAGTTCCTCACACACACACACACACACACACACACACACACACACACACACACACACACACACACACACACATATGCACGCATGCGAACACACACGCACATACAAACACACACACACGCACACACATACATGTACGCGCACACACACATACATGCACGCGCACACACATACACACATACAAACACCTTTGACCTTTGACGCCCATCGCCGGAGGCGATGATAGCAATGCTACGGCAGAAGCCATAGCAACTTGTGCTGGGATTACACCATTCAACAGCTTGCGAGGCTGAAGAATTGACCGTCACTATTCAGCCTGGTCTACACCATACAGCTATTTGGAGTGACATTTTCTGGCCAGTGAATCCCTTTTTTTGGTCTTTTTTCATTTTTTTCTTCTTTTTTTTCTTTTTTTCCCGCACACACATCACACCACATACTCCGGCATGCACTGGCTGTTGGTAACCACCCAGGAGAATGAAAGAAAAGTCAGGAAGAGTCTGAGAAAGAGAAGAAAGACGTGTGTGACCATAATCGTCGGGAATCGAACCCGCAATCATACAAACACACACACACGAACACACACACACACACACACACACGCACACACACACACACACACACACACACACACACACACGAACACACACACATACACACACACACACACGCACACACATACATGTACGCGCACACACACATACATGCACGCGCACACACATACACACATACAAACACACACACACGAACACACACACACACACACACACACGAACACACACACATACACACACACACCTAGTATCATGAAAGACTATTAAGCCACTCACATCTGGTTGTGGCACGTGTGGTATCTCTCCTGCAAGGCTGAAGCTCTGTGGGCTCTCACTTTGGCTGGGATCTCCTGCTGTTGTTGAAAATGCTGTCATGTGAATGAAGTCAAGAGCCTTCCATTCAGTGCAGAGAAGATACCATGCAAGAAAAAAAGAGCACAGAATACTTGTGTAACCTACATGGAGACAGCAGTTTAATTATAGCAATGAACAGGATGAACTGTGCACTCATTCTAAACACACACATTAAGAGGGAAAGTGGATGGTTTAGGTCCTCTCCTAACCCATCAACTTTTCCTTGATGTGTGTTTAGAACGAGTGCGCCGTTCGTCCTTTTCATTGTTATGAATACATTGGTCTCAATGTGCAGTGAACACTATGTCGATTAAAGGGGAAGTCCGGTGAAAAATTTAAATTTCATAGTCCGTAGAGTTCGGATCGCTGAGTCGAATGGTCTTTGTCCGAGGAGGCTGCGGCTTATGGTTCGTCAGATACGCCCAATCGAACATGTGCGAATTTGACCGCGCATCACCCAGATCCAGGTGATGACGTCACAGCGTGCAGCCAGGTAGCCACACCATCTAGTTGTGTACAAAATGGCCATATTCGGAGCGCGTTCGATTGGGGAACCGTTTGTTGCAGCTTCTTCGGACCAAGACCATTCGATTCAGTGTTACAAACACTACGTACCCTGTGATTTTCAGCTCGGTAAACTTGGAGGTTATACCGTATTTTAGCCGTTTCCGAGTTGGACTTTTCCGTCAGCCTCTACGCGGCGCTGCGCGCTGCGTGCATGCAGTGCGTGCAGTGTGTTATCTAGCTGTAGTAGTAACTAGTATAGTGCAGTCAACACAACTCATCACAGACGGAACTACTCGCGCACTGCCGTGCTGGGGTCCTAGTATTGTACAACAAGACTCGAGTCACAACTGACACAAGACTCAGAAAACTAGTCAACACACGGAATTGTCATGTACTACACTCGGATCAGTCGTATTGTAGAGTCATGTAGTCAGAGAACGTGCGTTTCTCCTTGCCGCTGCCGGTGGTTGTGCTTTGAGAAAGAAAATTTTAGTTTTCCGCACCCGCCTCATTATTTTTATGCTACAACGATGAGTGCACAACCGTGACAAGTGACAAAACAGCGAACAGCTCCCGGACCTAGAACTTCCAGATTCCATAGCGTTGCGAGCGAAGAGTCGTGCCCGTGGTTCAAAGAGCCTGCACTGTTCTCCAATTGAGTAGTCCGAAATATTCCAAGTTCGCACCAAAACATCACCATGTGGCAGGCTACTGGAGTCTAAGCGAATCTAATCGGTATGGAACAACATTTAGAGCACTCGCATCACTCTTCTCCATTTTGGCGACCCTGCTCTCCAGCGATCTGATAATTACATCAGCCTCGTCTGCAATAGCTACTGCTTCTTCATCAGTCGGAAACTCAGTAGCGCTCACTCTTGACCGGCCCGCGCGGCCATTTCTTCAGCTGAATACCGAGGTTCTCAGCCCCAGACCGAAGTCATGAAGGTCAGCCATGGCTGCATCCTCACTCTCACAAGGAGTTACAGGTCTTCGGGTCGCTTGCACCACCTAATATCAGTCGCCAAATCATTTGAAATAGCACTGACACTATTGCTTTCACGCACTCCTTTTGACCTAGCTGCACGCTATGACGTTGCAGAGGGTGTGGCGCAGCCCCATGATGTCATGGTGCAGCCCCCGAAACTCAGTTTTTCAAACGGAAATATCTCGAGAACGCTTTGTCGGAGACATGTGGGACCAACACCATTCGACTCAGCGCCCGAAACTCTACCGCCCCTGAAATTTAAATTTTTCACCGGACTTCCCCTTTAAATGGGGCTAGCGGCACTTCCAGTCAAAATCTCACATTCAAAATCTCACAAGAACTATATTAATAAAAATGGTGGCCAATTACGGATGTAGATGCATACTTCACACAAAAAATAGTCCATTTTGGTCATTCTAATTATGATGACGATGATGATCTGAAAAGTGATGGAATGGATATGTCGCGTTTGCATCTAAACTCTTGCCTTGTACAGCACCCTACAGAGAGTACAGTAATAGATCTGGTAAAAAAAAGTTGATTGTAAACGACCAAGCATGGGACTCTGGCTAGCTAAGCAAGCGCCATGGGCAAGTAACAGTTTCAAACCCCTTTCAAAAGCCATGAGTTCTCTCTCTCTCTCTCTTTCTCTCTCTTTCTTTCTTTCTCTCTCTCTCTCTCTCTCTCTCTCTCTCTCTCTCTCTCTCTATCTATCTATCTATCTCTCTATCTATCTCTATCTCGTTCTCTCTCTTGTTTTCCCCACTCCCCTCGTTTTCTCTCCTGTGTCACTTCTGGATACCCTACGGTATTAATTTGTACTATTTAAGTGTGCTATTTTAGAGGACTCTGCATGCATGTTATTGCTCTTGTCGAAATATTTCGACTGACTTTTAACAAAATTTATTATATCGGGAAAATCAAATTTCCATGGGAACGGTCTCTCTCACACTGGAGAATGCCCCTCCTGTAAATCCACTGCATTGCATATGAATAGGTTCTTTCCAGTGCATGCTTGTAAATGTACTCAGGTTGATTTCCTGCTCCGGATCGGCCATTTTGCCCACCTCCGCCCGTTGGGAGTGGTCGCCGAGGTGAAAGTGCTCGTCTTCCCTGGGCTTGAGCTGCACGCTGGCACTGGCAGTGGAACGCACACCGGCCGCAGTGCTGTCACCGCGCTCGCCCGATTTCGTGGCGTCGCGGAACAGCGGCAGCAGGTACATGGCCGAGATGGAGAGTGAGTAGAGGAAGAAGCCGAGCGGGAACGAGATCATCGACAGCACGATGTCGCTCACCATGAAGTAGATGCCGACGGAGAGCGTAAAGCCGAAGATGATCACGGCGCACGTGTATGTGCGGCGCAAGGAGGCGAGCCGTGTCCGAGCTGAGCATCGCCGTCGCTTGGTCCGATCCAGGTAGACGGTGTGAGAGTCCAGCGCGATGATCCAAAGCGCGAATGCGAGGTAGCTCGCGTAACCAATGCGTATGGACGTGTTGTGAACGCCACAGACCAGGGAGACGCTAGTGTGTGGCTCTACGGCCGTCTGTCGTCGTACGGGAGCGATGATGTGCGACGAGGCCAGGATGGCGATCACGGAGAGGCAGAGCAGGACTGAGCAGACCACGCGAGACTTCAGCGTGCCGAGCACTCGCTTGGCCTTGCGACGGCCCCTGTGCAGACGTCGGCGTGTACGATCGGTGAGCAGTGGTGACTTCTTGGCCGACATGTGCGACTTGGCCGCGCTCTTCAGACTGTGTAGAGTGCCGGAGCCGCCAGAGTGCTTCTGCGTTAACGTGGCAACTGCCTCGGAGGCGTGCCTGAGATCGGGGAGGCTGATCGCCACCACGTCGCCACTGAAGCCGCTCTCCAGTGCACTGTGGCTGGCGGGCTCAGGAGCTAGGAACGCCATGCCGCTGGGTCGCTTAGGCAACCACGAACCGGACACCCGCACGGTATCCTCGTCCTGCAGTACGCTGTGCCTTGGACCACCGGTCGACCCGCTTACGGACTGCTGCTGCTCGCTGGAGTTATCGATCGACGTTGCTAAGGTGTTGCCGCGCATGAGTTTACGCGGCAAGCGAGACTGGTGCGTGGCAATGACCACCATCGGTGCCATGGCAACACTGAACAGAGCCGCTGGGCCGATGGACAGGATGGAGCAGATCGTATCCGTTGGCTTCATCAGCCATGGTATGAACACAAGCTGAGAAAAGGCTACAGCGGTTGAAGTTATTGCTATCAGCGGCTTCTCGATGGACCACTTCAGAGAGGTGTTAAACAGAAGCGGGAGAGTATACACAATGGCGGATACCGTTACGCATGCACAAAGAACAAGCACGCCGTACGTGATCCCTCTCTTGCCGATGTAGTCGACTTCGAAGGGCACGCACGCGGTGTGCTCTGCGTTGGCGTACGCCTCGGGCTCGCATTCCCGGCATGCTTGGTCGCCTGCACGCGAATAGCGTTGACCAGCGCAGGGCAGGCAATCGAAGCAGCACTTCGACGGCCTTCCCTGAGCATCCAACACGTGGCGGATCCGATAGCCGGGATGGCACGGATGGCTACAGATGGACTGGGGCGGTATTGT